TGTTTTCTATAAAATTGAGGCAGGGGTGCAATATTAGACATTGGGGGAACAGTTAGTACAACCTTCGCCAGACACAAACAGCTTCTGATTATTGATCAGGGGTCAATTCATTAGTCCTCAGGTCTTACCATTAGTGTGATCATTAGCCTTATTATTAGCATGCAACAGGAGAACAGAGAGCCAAGTTACTTACTGAGTTGTAAAAAACTCAATGGAAAAAAACAATAGTATGGCAGAGCACTTTACTGGAACCTTGTGCAGCAGAGAAGCAGATGTAGCAACACTCAGGATCACACTTGCAAGTATGAACCTCAGAGAGGTGTTCTCACGTTGCTACAGAAATGTACGTGCACCCTTACAGGCTTTATTTTTACACGGCAATTCTGAATAATGACTATGAAAGGAATAATAGATAGTTGATTCATACAGCAAGCACAGCAGATCTTGTGCACTGAATGCATCAGAGCGTTTTGTGCAAACAGAGTGTGTAATTGTGCAATTAAAACCTTCAGCAGTGCAGAGGCACAAGCGGATTGTATAGCCTATCTTTGTTCCAGCTGTAGCTAACACTAAAACTCCTACCTGCAAAATAACACACAGTGGAGGCAATGAACTATAATAGAAGGCTGAAAATCTATAACTGAAATACTCACCTAATAATTTATTAATATGGTTCCATGAATGACGTCAATATAGAGATAATACCCAGTCTGATGACACAGAAAAGAACTTCTGCTTCAAATCCAGACTCAAATTTCCACTATTATCTCAGCTTCCTGATTTCCAAAACACCTGTCAGGACCATCTACTGCTTGTAGGGAGTTTGATATCAACAGCAAAGCTCCCTATCATAAGGACTTTGTTGATACCTGTTCATTTCAGGTATCAACACTGACACCTAGCTCTAGCTCCATAGTGGGATTGACAGAATCACAGAAACACTGCTCAAAAGGGACCTTTGGAGATCTTTAGTCCAACATACCACTCCCTCCCACTCACCAGAACTAGGTCTGGTCAGCCACGACTGCCTAGCCAAGTCTTGAAAACACTTAAGGATGGATTCTCTGCCACCTCTGCGTTGTTCCTGCTCCCTGTATTTTTACTTCTATGTTATGATTTCTTTTGTTACTGAAAAACGAATCAAACCCCTCTGGAAAATGGCTTCATCTTTGGGAAGGCTTAGCAATCAAAAGTACCTTATATAGAATTATTATATAGAATTATTTGGGTTATTTGGGTTACTCTATCTGTCATTTTGACTTTTCTCATAGCAGTCCAGAATAAATTAGGGTGTTTAAAAGTACCTTCCAACTAGAAGCTTCCCAATTTACAATAAATGCTATTGAGGAACCAAAGTCTGTTTTACATTCATAGCAACTACGGCTATTCTCTATGCAAGACTGCTTCCAGGTCTGTGAATATGTTCTGGCCATGTCCTGGGTTTTTCTGGGATGAAACCAGAGTGCAACTTCCCGTGCCTAGCTTTTTATGAAAAAAACCATGGCGTCCAGGCTTTATATGAGAAAAAAACCCAACGGTTCCCAGCGTCTGGGCTACATTAGAAGGAAGCACGTTGCATTCTTACTGATGCCCTGCTCTTCCAGATCTGGCAACCAACACTGAATGCTGTGCTGTCAAAAGCATCAGCCCCCTAGGCAAAACATAGCCACCCTTAAAATTCATGATTGCTCTGGACACATTTAACATCCAGTATTCCCAAGTTTCTCATGAAGCATCTAATGTTTTTGTACTCCTCTCCCTCAACATCTATACTGATAATCCGTGGGCCAAGATACTAGTGTTGCAAATACCAGTATAAACAGCAGCTTTCGTGCTTTGCGGCTTGCATTTCAAAATGGCTGCTCCCTGCTTGATGATACTACTAGCATAATTAACATTTAAGGCAGTTAAATTTTTGTTAGTGAGTAGAGGCTCAATCTGGCACTTGAAATCTTGCCCTTGGAGCCCAGGAGATTTAGAGCATTGGTTTCTGAGACAAAACAGTGTCCCACTTCTTCTATGCAATTAAAAATAACCACTGAGTTTTAGATAATAATAGAGGTCAAAATACCCAAGTGCTATTGAAAATATTTAACCACACACAAATGGTACATATTTAAAAGGCCTTAGAGACTTGCATGTTACGCAAACTAATCAAGCTCTCATGGTTTACTTTGCAACTAAAACATCTTATGCAGAAGTACAATCTAATTGCATACAGGTCGTATGTAAAAACGTAGATGGCTACAGGTAAACACGCCAAGTTAATGCTGGTTGGCATTCCCTCAGACCTTACTCCAGGATTCTCAAAGTACTTCGCAACTATTGATTAACCTGTTTTATAAGGAAGAGATATCTCTAGCTTGTACTTACTTTTACAAAGGGGGAAGTAACACAGAAGATCAGGGCTGTAACCAGAAATGGAAAGGCAGGATCTGGGGCCCCAGTCTTTTTAATTTCTAGATAGCTCACCTTCTCATTAAATAGAATCATGTACGGACAACAAACATGAACTGTAATTGGGAGTTCTCCCATTAAACAAATCCATTCAAAAAGCTAGATGCACATTTTCAAGGCTGGAAAACTATTTTAGGATACTAAACAAGCAACTGCATGAAATTTAGCTTTCTTATTGAGTTCTGAGATCTTAAAGAACTCTAAATTTTGAAGTCCTGACTAGGTTCATAAGCATTTTCTAAAGGACTGGCTTCAGGATGCAAGGGTAAAAAAAGATTCACCATGGAAAGTTCACCAAAGTTCTGTAGTTTTTTAGAGATTACATTACTATGACGTAGAGAGAAACTGCGACTGATTTCCCAGAGAAGCTATGACAAACCTCTCTTTTCAGGGTGAATGAGGTATAGAAACAAAAAGAAATGCTAAAGAACAGCAGTCATCAGTAGGCAGAGACTTGTATTACAGCCTTCAAGCTAGCAGGCAGCTAGTTTAACCCACACAAAATAGCTGTTTCTCTTCCTAAGTTTTCTGACTGGTGGGCTGGCTGATGTGACTTTGTTACTTCTGCATCTGTTGTTCTGATAGACTAATGAAGAGCAAATTATTATTGCCATTATTGTTGTTATTGCTGTTTCCACTGGACATGACATCAATTAGCATAGAAACTTTATTCAGCATTGCATAATAACAAGCAAAAAACACCAGTCTGGCTGGAAGACTTTCATCAAGGCTTTCTCCCCTACAGAGTAAGGGAAGATCTTCAAAGGACCTTACAACACTCATCTTCCAGGACCATAAGGGGGTGGGAGATGAGTGAGCAACACTGTGAAACATGTAGTGTGGAAGTTTAGATATAACCTGAAGATGCATAAAAGATGGAAAGCAATCTTTTTGCATAAAGAATAGGTCGTGCCAGATAGCTTAGACAACTTGTGCAAAATGACAGGATTAGTGCACACAGGGAATGTGGCAGATCTGATTTTACAGAAACATTATTTATGGGTTAGTGGGTGGACAAAAGTTTTCTCAACAGATTTTTACAGATCTAATCATACACAGAAAGTTCAAACAGTTTACTTTAGCCTCAACTTAGTGCTACTTTATAGATAGTGTTTTGATTTAATTTAATTTATCTAGACTTTAATGAGACTTTTGGTACTTTACTGCCTGGAAAATTATTACTGACACTGGAAATATGGTGCCTGGTTACGAATATTGCAATGAAGATATGAAGTTGCCAGACATATTGTAAACACAGCATAATTACGGTATTTACAGTTGAACATCAAAATGGGAAGAGATGCCAAGTGGCATTTCTCAGAAGTTAATATTGGGACTGATACCATCTAATATCTTCCCTAATAATTTGGAAAATGAAGTAAATTGTACATTGATTGAATACACAGTAGACAAAAGAGGAAGATGAACTATGACACAGCAGGTGGGTAGGTTCAAAAAAACCCAGAAAGATGTGGAGATCTAAGAGGGAGAGAGAGAAGGGTGCATTTAAGAGGGAAGCTATTTAATGTAGACAAATGTAGAATAATAAGCTCGGAGAAAATTAACACCCATCTCAAGTAACCAAATGGGAAAATGCCAATTTTCATTTTAAAAAAATCAAAGAGATTTCACAGTTTATTCACACTGAAAATTCACATTGGGGTATATGCATCAGGTTTGACAACTTGTTTGCTACATTCCAGCCTGATGTGATTTTAAAAGGAAGAATAACAGATTCCCTTTAAAACCTGCCTTTTAAAATAAATTTTTCCTTATTTTAAATGTATACCGAATGCTCATAGAAGCCCCAATTTACAGTCCTGTTAGCAGAAATAACATAGTAGTAATGTAACATAAGTAAGAGACACAGAAGCAGCGCATATGAGGACCAAGGTGTAGGTCAGGAAGCCAAAGCCCATCTGTCTCTGATACTGTCAAGGAGTTCTAAGTGTTCACTCTATGCAGTGGAGCAAAATCCATGAAATACTAGGCTGCCACTGATGTGTCGACTTTAGTTTAGAAGCTCAACTATACCTTGAGGAAAGCTATTACTGTATAAAAGAAAGATTCTGAGGGATATTAAAGAAAAAAAAAAAGACTAAACAAATACTGAAACAAGCTTGCTGTTAAATGACTACTGTATACACTAGTGAACCTTAAATATTATCTGTAGGATGGAAATTGTCAAAAGAATGTACCCTTGCAATAAAGTTAACTTGTAATTATATAAACTCCCTAAGTACAGAAAACATATTTTATGACACAAAACCCCCCTACATGGACTATGTTAGAGAGCTGCTCCTGGCTGAGTTTAAAGAGCACACTATCTTTTCCCCATCATTATTTGGTTAACAATACCCATAGTAGGAGTACATTATTTTGTCACAGGAATGATTCAGGACAAGAAAATATAAAAACTTTATCAAACTGAGTATTAGTTTTCTTCCTAACACAGCAATCAAAATACAGCTGATGCATACAAAATGGCTGATGTGATAGCAATCAACAATATTTTTCTTATGTATGCTTAAAAACCTGCTTACCAAGGGGAGCCATATATTCTGAATCCCCTCACCGTCACTTCAGAGTCTTGAAGATAGATGCAGTTTGTTAGAAGAGACTGTACATTTTCATAGCTCTCTGGCTTCAGCTTAGAAACAGAGGGGAAATAGTAAAAGTCCTGCTTGATTAAGTCAGCCATGAATTCCTGGTCAAAGGTCAATTCATGATTTCCTGCTATCACAATCTTGTATTCATAGGGCAGGCTACCTAGAACAGTGAAAAACAAACAAATTACTTGTTTTATGGAAAACCTGATAAAAGAAAACAGACTCACAAACTATTATTGATTCCTGTAATATGCTCACATATGTGAAACAATTGAGCATATTCCTACTATGTGTTACTGAAATTCCTGGTGATTTACAGTTAAATGACATTACTGTCTTTTTCAGGGCACACTGATTTAGCATGCTTAGCATTAATGTGTTGAAACTACTTTCAACTCATCAACCTTAAAAACCAGTCTGCAGACTTCTGCTCTACTATTTACTTCTAGTTAATTGCCATTTGTGCTGCAAGTATCACTTACGGTGACAGTGATGATAACTCTTTGACAGAAATTAGGGTTCAAAGAAGATTGGCCATACCACTTCATAAAATAATGTCAGCTTTCTTCTCCCAGAGCTGTGGCCTTTATCAGCTTGTACTGAGGAGGTCTTACAGACTCAGAACTTGGGTCAGCCAGAGGGGTTTGCTGCTCTCTTTGCCCTGACATTAAGATCAAGCATTCAAGCAAGACAGGGATTGGGTTCAGCTGTCAAAACTCCACATCCCACAGAGAAATCTCACAGTTTGCCTCTATCCCATGTTTTTTCCTGCTCCATTTTCTCAGACTTCCTTAGATCCATGGACTATAATTTAAAGTGACTCATGTTCAAGAATATTTTACAACCCGTATTTAGTGAAAAACCTTACAACAACCTCCTGCTTAAGCAAGAATATATATGCCCACACACATGGGTTCTTCCTGAGAGCAGCACTGCAACAGAAACTTTCCACCTGACTCCATGTTTGGTATCAACTGGATTCTGCCCTTAAGAGCAGGTATCACCTGCCTCAAAAAGCTCAGTAGAAACCTTCTAAGTATATCTGAGAGGAAACAAAGACAGAAACGGTGTAAAGCTGCATTCATTAAGCTTTGCTTCTGCACTATTAATTTGCATCAGGATGAGGAGACTGGGAGCATAAAGAAGTATTTCATTGAAAATGAGACCCACCTTGCATAGAAGCAACCTTGGAATTTTTTATTTTAAAAATGTATTGCTGATAACATAGAAACCTTTAGCAACGACCCCAAGCCTAACCTAGAGGTAGGATATTTAGAGAATGTAAAACACCAGTCAATATGCAGTGGCAAAAATTGGCATGAGTAGGATTTAAGAATAAAATGCAACAGTGTGACTCAGAGTTACCAAAACAGAAGACAGAGAACGGTGCTAGCCCAGAAGAGATGTCACATGGCTGAACTCATTATTTGTCAAATGAAAAGATCTAGGTAACCCTGAAGTTTCAGACACTTACAACACCTGTATTAGGAAAATTGATTGTACAGGTTCCAGTCTTTCCTGTGGACCCAATACATCTGCCTTTAGAATAATTATTAACAAAAACTCTTTTCAGAGATTTATAATCACACATCGAATGTTGGAGATTCAATTATTTACCTGAAAGACTACTTGAGATGTAAATGTTGTCATTTTTGCTTTTGAAATGCTTAACATTTTGCAGATGTGTACACTGTCTCTGCAAGTTTTTGGGGTGTGTGTGCATATACGCACACAAGTTAAAATGTTACTTACAAGTTACAGTATGTATGGGCATCTACAGGCCTTAAAGTATTCTTGGGAAACAGGAAAATAAAGAAATCCTGTATGCTGCAATATTGTTAACAATTCCATTTCTATTCTGTTTTGTAAATCTTTTCCAGCTCATCTGATCCATCCATCTAACAGCCAAGAACCTGTACGAGCTGGTTATAGTTGTTGCTTCCACTAATGTATTTATGTCATGTTGCTGTCTGTGGGTGTTACTTAGGCAAATTAGCAAATTACTCTAAATGTACAGTTACATTTATTATAGTGGCGGCCAGAAGCACTGCTGTAGTTACAGGTCTGTCAGCTTTTCAATTAACAACTCAGTTTTTGATGAGTTTGCAGCTCAGGTTTTTTTCCTTTCATTCCATACCAGGCAGTAACTTGCTAAACCTATTTCCCTCTCTTTTGTCTCTACAAGCCCTCTTTACCCTTTACATCTTAATTTTTTGTCTAATGGGTATGTTTTCCTGCTCGCACATAAATACAACAATATTTTGTTTAAACTTTGTTCCTTAGAAGGCTTTAGAACATGCTTCACTTTTTACTCCAAGTTCTCTTGAAGTGCAAAGTCAACCTTATGTATAAATCTTTGAAACCTTGTTCTTGGCTGGGCACTGCTGTCATGAACTGTATGTGTAAGATGCCAGTCAGGCAGCTGCAGATGAAGACCCTCAGTTATCAGACCACAATATTGGTTACACATCTCCCATCTTCCCTGCTTCCAGCACGATCCTCACTCTAGTCCACATGCAGAAATCAGCACTGAATGCTAAACACCTCGTTGCACTAAAGCATGGTCCTCCTACCACTGACCTCAGAGGGACCAATGCCACCCTCCTGCAGCAGGACCACAGTCCAACATGGTGTGTCAGCACAATCCCAAGAAATGTTGAATGTTTCAGGTGCCTTTTATAGCATTAAGATCCACCAAACATTTGCAATATCTGATCAATCTCTACCTGAAAACTACCTTAAAGCAGCAACTCTTTCCTGCTTCTGACCTACAACTTCTTACTTTTCCTTTTCATATGGCATTATTTAAGCTGTTCTGTGTTTTCTTATTCCATTATGTCCTTCCAACACAAATACGTGGTTTTCCATCTCTAGGCACAGACTGCTGCACAATTTGTAGCCTTGGCTTGGTCCTTGGCTAGGACCAAGACATCCTCGAGAGCACACAAGTCTAATAGCTGTTGTATGGCTGTGTTTCTACATGTGTCCATAGCTTTAGAACAACCACTTTTCCATCTATTATTTTTTGTGCCACCAGCACTTTATCAGAGATATTTCAAACACTTCCAGGTTGATGAGTTTATTCCCATACCTGCTAGTGGGTGCTAATGACAAACTCGGTAGGAAAGACACCAGGCACACTTCCTGTCCCTTCTTAAACAAAGTGATCTGAGAATGTTGAATTCCCACTCTCGCAGGTTTTCATGGCTTCTTGTAACAATTGCATTTTGCTAAGAAAGGTTCCTGCCAAAAACAGCAGTAGCTACAACGTACCCATTGCAGTGGGTTTCTTTTGTCTTCCATTGACAAACTCAATGAAAACAAGCCTTAGTAAAGGCACTGGCAAACATTTCCATTTGCTAAGCCTTTTTCCTTTTTTTTTTTCCTCCCCTTCTTCTTTTCCAAAACACCCATATGCTAAACATTAAGTTTCCTGACTGCTCATCTGTGTGGGTACCAATGGTGCCACCAGAGAGACCTTGAGCACATCAAGGATGACTGACAGCCCTGAGATAACAGTGAGGGGGATGCAACCCAGGTGGTTACCTCCTCAGTCCTCCCAGTGAGGGGTCCCACTGTTCAAGTGGGAGTGGATGCACCCCACAGTCAACACGACACTGTGTGGCTGGTGCTGCAAGCACGGCTCTAGCTTCTACAACCAGAGGACCCTTTCTGAAGAACAATGACTGCTGCGCAGGGATGGCATTCCCCTGGGAAACTGGGGCAAGAGTGTCTTTGCCAACAGGTTCACTAATACAGTGGGAAGAGTTTTAAATTAGGTGTGTCGGGGAAGGGTTGTCATGCTGTGAAGAGAAGTGAAGGTATGGGGGCAGTGAAGAAGCAGCTGGGGGACAACAGGATGGCAAAGGCTCTTGCGTTACCCTTGTAAAGCAGCCTCACTGGGGCTCCTCTCAGGTACCCGTACGCACACACACAGCATGGGGTACAACCAGGAGGAAGAAGTCCACGCGCACTGGAGAACTGTGACATCTCTGAGATTACGGAGACATGGTGAGATAGCTCACCTGACTGGAGTGCTGCAATGGATGAAGACAGGCTTATCACCTGTCTATCACAGGTCTACCCCCTTTTGAAAAGTTCAAGGGATTGGAAAAGTTCCTAATGGCTAGAAAAAGGCAGATGTCTCACCCATCCTCAAGAAAGGCAAGAAGGGGAATCTGGGGAACCACAGGCCATCAAGTCTCACATCAGGCCTGGGAAAATTACAGAACAAATCTCCCGCAAAGTAATTTTCCAAGCACACGAAGGTCAGGAAAGTGATTGGGAACAGCCTTCACTGATTTAACATGGGTAAATCATACCTGACCAACGCAACTGCCTTCCAGGAGGAGATGACTGGCTCTATGGATAAGGGAGAGCACTGGATGTTGTTGCCTTGCTTTTAGCCTTTGACACAATCTCCCAATGCATCCTTATAGCCAAATTGGTGAGACAATGACAGATGATAAGGCGAGTTGAGTATCACCTGGAATATTGGGCTCAAAGGGATAGAATCAGTGGTACAAAGTCTATCTGGCAGTCACTCCCTAGAGGTATCCCTCAGCTAGTGATACTGCGGCCAATGCTGCTTCCCTTCTTTACTAACAGCCTGGATGATCTGATGGAGTGCACTTTCAGCAAGTTTGCAGACAACACCAAATTAGGGGTGGGGATCTGCTAACCCACTCTGGAGGGCATGTCTGCTATTCAGAGGAACCTCCAAAGGCTGGAAAAATGGGCTGACAGGAACCTCATAATCTTAATCAAAAGCAAATGCAAAGTTCTGCACCTAGGAAGGAGTAAATAAATTCCAACAAAACTCAGTGGTGTGTCTTTGTGGCAAAGACAGCCAATCACATCCCGGCCTGTATTAGTCAACAGTGAAACAGTTGAACAAAGGGACTGATCTTTCTCCTTTATCTAGCACTTGTGAGACTACATCTGGAGTGTGGTGTCCAGTTCTGGGTTCCTCAGCAGAAGAAAAACTACTGACAAACTGAAGTATGTCCAGCACAGGGCCACCAAGATGATTGGGGAATGTGGCGTATGGGGAGAGGCTGAGATCTGAGCCTGTTCTGCCTAGAGAAGATGAAGGGAAGACCTTACTGCTGTCTGCAACTACCTGATCTCAGGATAAAGAGAAGGCAGAGCTAAGTTCTT